CAAAGTATACCGCAACGTCAACAAACAATGACAAGATATACAACAACATCAGCAATGACAAAATATACTATAACGTCAACACCCAGGGACAAAGTATACCGCAATGTCAACAAACAATGACAAAATATACAACAACATCAGCGATGACAAATATACTGTAACGTAAATACCCAGGGACAAAGTATACCACAGCATAAACAATGACAAGAAATACAACAACATCAGCAATGACAAAATACACTGTAACGTCAATACCAAGGAACAAAGTTTACCGCAATGTCAACAAACAATGACAAAATATACAACAACATCAGCGATGACAAATATACTGTAACGTAAATACCCAGGGACAAAGTATACCACAGCATAAACAATGACAAGAAATACAACAACATCAGCAATGACAAAATACACTGTAACGTCAATACCAAGGAACAAAGTTTACCGCAATGTCAACAAACAATGACTAAATATACAACAACATCAGCAATGACAAAATATACTGTAACGTCAATACCCAGGGACAAAGTTTACCACAGCGTCAACAAAACATGAAAAAATATACAACAACATCAGCGATGACAAATATACTGTAACGTAAATACCTAGGGACAAAGTATACCACAGCATAAACAATGACATGATATACAACAACATGAGTCATGACAAAATATACTGTAACGTCAATACCCAGGGACAAAGTATACCGCAATGTCAACAAACAATGACAAAATATACAACAACATCAGCAATAACAAAATATACTATAACGTCAATACCCAGGGACAAAGTATACCGCAATGGCAACAACCAATGACCAAATATACAACAACATCAGCAATGACCATGTAACGTCTGATGATAAGGTGGTCTGTATATATTACCTTTTCGACTTTAAATCGGAATGCCATTTGAAGTGGTTGATAGTGTATGACATACGAGTCTCTTGGTTAAGCTACCTGCTTAAGGTATAAACGTTAACGCGTGGAAACTGAAATTCATACTGGTATTTAGAGTAATCTTCAGGGATTTTGGCTTACTTGTCAAACAAAATAACATTACTTGCCAAGTACTTTGATGATATGCTAGCTTTATCCAATACCGATTAAAAAATAATGTGATAGTAGTCAAATATTTCTGATTTGTATATTTCTACATGGGTATATAACGTTCTATAATTCGTTGAAGCAAGAATTGACCTAAAATAACCAATTCAAAATCATGTCTTCCTTAAACGGGGGTCGTGTCATAGCAGTTAAACTTCAAGCCAAATAAAATTTTAATTTAACCATAGCGTCAACACTGGGTAATGTCACATATTTTATGAGTTTTTTTCCCCAAGTGGATTCTTTCAAATAAAATCCCCCAAAAAATGTTGTACGTTACTAACGATGAAAAGGCACACAAGAAGTAAGTGGGTCTTTAATAAAATTAGACATTGGAATCATAATGAAGGACACAGCTTTAACATTTCTTCATCATACAGTGGCGTGCTTTTGATGTGTCTTTCACGTTACGTCATTTCCCATTTGGGCTTTATGATTAAGGTTTTTTTTATTTTAAATATTTTTGTGAATTCGTTTTTCGTCCCATTTAATTAAAAAATATGCACACAGCTGGAGAATTAATTAGTGTTTCCATTAGTTATTAAGTAGTAACATTGACTTGTTGGATTTGATTTGAAAGAACCCACTTGGATACATTAATGTTTTCTATCTAAAACATCACATTAAATACACACCTCAGGTTTGTGTGTGGTCCATGATGCTGTTTCTTATCTTTTGGATGACTTTTAGTTCATGTTTGGTTTGTGTGTGGTCCATGTTTTGTTCATTTTCTTTTGGGTGTATCGATTTCCATTTTTTGTTTTGACATTAAATTTAGATTTGGTTTGTGTGTGGTCCATGATGCTGTTCCTTATCGTTTGTTGGTACCGGTTTCCGTTTTTTGTTTTGACTTTTAGTTCCGATTTGGTTTGTGTGTGGTCCATGTTTTGTTCTTTTTCTTTAGGTGGTTCCGTTTTCCATTTTTTGTTCTGACTTTAAGTTAAGATCTGGTTTGTGTGTGGTCGATGATGCTGTTCCTTATCGTTTGTTGGTACCGGTTTCCGTTTTTTGTTTTGACTTTTAGTTCAGATCTAGTTTGTGTGTGGTCGATGATGCTGTTCTTTTCTTTAGGTGGTTCCGTTTTCCATTTTTTGTTCTGACTTTAAGTTAAGATCTGGTTTGTGTGTGGTCGATGATGCTGTTCCTTATCGTTTGGTGGTACCGGTTTCCGTTTTTTGTTTTGATTTTAAGTTCAGATCTGGTTTGTGTGTGGTCAATGAGGCTGTTTCTTATCTTTTAGAGATACCGTTTTCCATTTTCTGTTTTGACTTTTAGTTCAGGTTTGGTTTGTGTGTGGTCCATGATGTTCTTCCTTTTCTTTCGGAAGTACCGTTTTCCATTTTTTGTTTTGACTTGAAGTTCAGATTTGTTCTAATCACAGGATCTTGAAAGGAGGTAGACTTAAATACATATTAGAATGTTGTTTAATTTGAGTCATTACCATATGGGGTCTGTTGTTTCACAGTCATGTAATATTTTTTAGAGGATCATATGCGTTGTTTTGTTCATACGTAGTTGAAGCAATTGGTACATCACCTTATTGTTCAGTCTGAAAATGGTGAAGACGAGTTTTATACATGTAGGTATTGAATAACTCATTGTTTTTAATTTCAAAGGGCTAGAAGCTCATCCTTTTAAGTATCTGTGAGAGCTCAACTACAACAGCTAGTAAAAGACGGACCTTACAATAATGCTAATATATAGTCAGCTCTTATCTGTAAAATTCAAGGCCAATACATACTTATTACACTGCATTATCATATTGAGAACGCATACATGTATGTTTCCGAATAAAAACAAATAAATGAACATTTTCACATATACTGTTATAGTAAACCATATTGTTATCACAGTATTATTGAGTTGTACATTGCGATATTATTATATAATTTAATCTTGCTTGTAACAAGCATTTCCATTGGCTTAAAAATATATGTTATCAGCCCATAACGTAAACAAGAGTCCAAAGAGGGCGTGTATCGCTCACCTAAATATTTAAGCAGTCATAGCAAAATATTCTCATTAAATACTATATTGCACTAAAAATATTTCCCCCGCAAACTTTGTTGGCTCAATCTGTTGAAACTACCAGCAAAATATTATTACAAGAATCTACGCTTTTTGATTCTTCAGAAGTTGCTTGACATATTTTCCCCTGTGACCTTGTGAGTAGGTCAATGTCATTTACCTTCTCAAATTGGTAAGCTCTAGACCTATTCCAAAAGCTACCAGCCACATCTTATGAATCCATTCCTTTTGGTTCTTAAGAACAAATCCATTAAAATGTTGTTGACCTCTGTGACCTTGAAAGTAGGTCAAGGTCACTTTCATTCGAAAACTTTGTTGGGCTCTTTCCTAGGAAATAACCAGCCGAATATTAAGGTTCTATAACTTCCAGTTCTTCAGAAGAAGTCATTTGAAGTGTTTGACATATCTGCCTCATGTGACCTTAAAAGTAGGTCAAGGTCATTTTCATTCTCAAACTTTGTTGGGCTCTTTCCTAGGAAGCTACAAGCCAAATATAAAGATTATATACCTTTCAGTTGTTCAGAAGAGGTCGTTTGAAGTGTCTGACACATTTGACCCCTGTGACCTTGAAAGAAGATCAAGGTCATTTTCTTCCTCAAACTTTGTCGGGCTATATCCCAGGAAGATATCAATTAAATATAAAGATTCTATACCTTTCAGTTCTTCAGAAGTCATTTGAAGCTTTTGACACATTTGACCCCTGTGACCTTGAAAGTAGAACAAGGTAATTTTCATTCTCAAACTTTCTTGGGCTCCATCCTAGGACCCAATCAACCAAATATGAAGATTATATACCTTTTAGTTCTTCAGAAGAAGTCGTTCAAAGTTTTTGACATATTTGACCCCTGTGACCTTGAAAGTAGGTCAAACTAATTTTCTTCCTCAAACTTTGTTGGGCTCTATCCCAGGAAGCCACCAGCCAAATATAAAGATTCTATACCTTTCAGTTCTTCAGAAGTCATTTGAAGCTTTTGACACATTTGACCCCTGTGACCTTGAAAGCAGGTCAAGGTTATTTTCGTTCTCAAACTTTGTTGGGCTCCATCACAGGAACCAATCAGCCAAATATGAAGATTCTATACCTTTTAGTTCTTCGGAAGAAGTCGTTTGAAGTGTTTGACATATTTGACCCCTGTGACCTTTAAAGTATGTCAAGGTCATTTTCGTTCCCAAACTTTGTAGGGATCCTACCAACAAAGCTTTCAGCCAAATATCATGACTCTAGGCTAATACTGCAGCTCAATAATTTCTAAGAGAAAAGAGTCCATCAATAAAAGTGGATTTCCACAGGGATTGTGTATAGTAGATTAAATTATAAGGATTAACTTGAATATATTGGTATATGATGAGAGTACACTCCGGTTTTTTGTGTTATAGCTCCATAACAGGAAAAATATATTCAAGTTATTCCTTAAATATGGAAGAATCGTCTGCATGGAAGTTGAAAATAACTATGAACAGACGAATAAATGGATCAGCAAGTGAAAGTCAAATATACATGGTGTACGAGGGGACACATAGTGTTAAGAATACTGATCCTAGAGCCTAGATCCTAGATCCTAGATCCTAGAGCGTAGAGCCTAGAGCCCAAAACCTGGCATAACCTGACTCCACACTCGGAAATAAATGAAAACATTTGAATAATAAAAGTATAAGTTGTGCTGCAGATATAAGATTTTTTATGTTTTGTAAATTCCAGTCAAAAGAATAAAAATATTTTACAGTTTTATGTAATACGCATTCGGTCTTGTTTTATCAAACTTAGTTTGGCCCTAAAATAAAATAGCATATTTTGAACATTTTATTTTTTGAAAAATTGCTCTTTGATGTGATTTTTTCTCTTTGAAAATAAAATTTTAACACTAATTTCGTCAAACTAATCTTTATTTCTGAAAAAGAAAACAGCACACATATAAATTGAGAAACGCGTACACTGTACATACAAGACAACAGAGGACTGTGGAAAAGTACCCATTACATTACACACTAGGTAAACTCGACATACTAAGTTCACTCCTGAAACCTAATTTAAATTTTTATCTCATATTTTTAAAATTATATTAAAATTTTACATATTGTCAAAAATTTATTTGAATGTGTGTTTATAATCTTATGTTTTTCCAACTCTATTAGTAATAACATTAGATTTCATATATGATAATTTTGTTTATTGCAAGAATACAACATATAGAGTTGAAATATTAATAACATTGTATATGTGCATATACATTTTTTTATCAAACTCTCAAAAATGTTATTTGTAAGCATATTTAATTTATGCCAACGACTCAGAATTCTGAAAATTTTAAAAATTGTCAACACTTCAATTTTTAACAAACCTAAATATTCATATACCAAATGTATATTTAATAATGTATTAAATTATAATTAAAGAAATTTTAAAAGTTCATATGTTCTTTTAATATTGGCACTTAGTATAAAACAATGAGGTTAATATTATTCTAAACATGTGTGATTAATTTATGTTTATAAACAATAAAATATTACTGGTAATACAATTTGATCACAATTCAGGGCTTATTATACTTGTAAACAGTGAAGTATTGTCAGTCATATATCATATGTTGGTGGTCACCAGGTATTTGTGGACTTCAAACATTGCATCACAAATTAAAACTATCTTAACATAGACATTTAGATGTTTAAACTACAAAAGTATGATGAAAGACTTCTCGAGTATATAATAATGTCAATAATAAATGAGATTTATTCGTGTATCTGAAATACTAAATTTAAATATAAACATTGTATAAATTACTTGGTTATATATTTTTGTTTTCATATTCTTGTAGTAATAAATATTAAATATTCTATAATAAATACAATTATTGCATAATATTTAAAATATCACTAAATTTCATAAGACATTACTAACTGAAATCATCAAAAGTATCAACATTGTCAGTGGGCAATAATGATCTTTAAAACTATGTAATATTAATAAGGAAAGTTATTAGAATAGTACAAGTTATCAATTTGAAGCAAAAATGAAAGGATATATAAGGTCAAAGCTGTGCTTATTTGTGATAATAAAGGCAAGGACAACAGTAACACGATCAAATTACCTTAATTCAATAATATACAGCACATCAACAGTCAATCAACCAAATACAGCAAAACTCAACAGATTAACATGTATCATATCAAACAGAAAGCAAAATGAAATCTTCAAAACACTTCCGTTAGAAGAAAGAAAAATGAAAAAAAAATCACGAAAGTGGAACACCAATTTCTGTTTTCAGCACCATCAGACGTCAATGACATAGTGCAAAGCTTCTCTCACTGTTCTTTGTTCTACATCCAACGAGTAGCATCACGTCAACGTAGTGTTATAACAATTAATACTCACAAATATATTAAGCAAATATAGTTTTAACACTGCGAGAACTTCTTCTGTCCAGCTATTTCATGTTATTGACAGGAAGGCCAAAAATGTGTTGTAAGCATCTCATTCAATATGACTGTTCATTAGGATCACACTTTAAACCACAAGAAGATGTTCAAGCGTCCCCGGAATCAGGTTCAGGGGCCTGAAAAGCTGCGTCCATGGCAGAGGCAACAATTTCAGTGGCTAACTGTTCAATCCCTTCTGTTTTCTTTCCTTCCGTGTCCTGCGAGTCTTCTGGTACTGATAATGTTCCTTCAGTTTCCACCGACTCCTCACATTCAGGAACAACATCCTTTTCTGTTTGTTCATCTGCATCACCAGTTGTAACCTCTTTGTCCATTGGTTGATCCTCAGACTTTGTTTCCTTCGTGTCTTCAAGTTGAGTCTCTTCCTTTTCCTTATCAAAGAGAATGACAAATATGTTGTATCAATGTATACAATTACATACAATCGTTCCTGTAAACCAAATATATTTTCAGTAGCAGATTTACAGCAGGTGAGTATAAGAACGGAAATAGTTTACACACAAAATTACCTTTCATTTGGTATAACAGAACAATTTTACAGTTAAAAGTCTTGTCTAAAAGGTCTATCTTTCACAGGGGCCCTATTTCTCTAATTTTGTCAGTAGCCCTCATTGGTGTCTTAATTTTTCAGAACTGATTAAGTAAGATACAATTAATCCCTCCCTCCCCATTATGGTTCCTTACAAGCAAAATATAGGGACCATGAGCAGGGTTGGTCAAAGTGCCGACCTACTGATCAAAAGATCTTAGGTTCGAATCTAGCAGACAATGCTATACAGTAAATGTGTCCTTGACCCAGACACTCAACCGTTGTTGTTTCATTTTAATAATTAACTTTGCCTGCCTAGAATAGAGTATAACATGGTCTGTGTTGGGTATTACTGTTACTGTGGTGGTACGGCACTATAAATGAGCCACTGAAAACTGACCCATAACAATGAGAAACACTTACAAACAAACTTCAGAATACAGACTTTGGTTTGGTTTGTTTGTGTTTTACGTCCTATAAACAGCTATGGTATTTAAGGACATGCCAGGTTTTGGTGGTGGAGGAAAGCCGGAGTTCCCGGAGAAAACCCATCAACCTACGGCAAGTAGCTGGCGACTGTCCCACGTAGGTCTCGAACCCGTGAGCCAGTGGTGGAGGGCTAGTAGTAGCAGAATGTCGGACGCCTTAACCACTTGGCCACTGCGGCCCCCCAGAACACAAACACAAATGACTAGAGCAACATACTACGGTGGCGTGCTGCATTTCCTACTAGAAGAAAGTCATAAACTACCAGAACAGAACAGAGATTCAACTCTTACTGAAACTTACATCTAAGACGATACTGCTCGTCAATTCCTCAACTTCCTCCTCCTCCTCAAATTCTGGCTCCTCTGATACGGGTGATGGTGTTTCCTCATGAACCATTGGATACATATCCAAGACACGGTTTGCGAGGTATCTTCTGGAGAAGGTGCATAATTTAGAGGTCGAAAAGACGACTTCCTTACGACACTTTGTCATGACATCAGTGACCTGAAGCCATTTATCCTCCAAGCATCTGGTAGCTGTTAGACGATTTCTAGAGTTAAAAAAATCAAAAAGTAGACAATTTGGTAAAAAAAAAATGACATTAGGTTCCTTGAGTGGAAACATTGACAAATATAACGACTTTACCTGCTAAAAGAGACTGTAATATCTTAAGATGAAGATACTCTATAAGGTAATTTTGTAAGTGGAATTTTGTATGTTTAGCATTTTAAATAATTCCTGTCGTGGAAATACATCATTGTGTTTATAAAGTGTGATTTTTGTACAGCTTCATCAACATATTTAGCAGAAAATTAATCTCATTTACAATATACCAATTACAAACCAGAAAGCATTTTTCATTTTCCTTTGTGTCTGATGGTAATCAAGTCTAGAAGCTGCTCTAGATCTGTACCATCAAATTTAATTTCACGGTTAATAACACGAAAAAAGCGAGTATTACCTCCCGTTCGTCCACCAATATATGTTTTACCTATAAGTGCTCCACCAGTTGAAACATGCACAGGTGGAAAAAATCTTCTTTTATAATATAATTTGTATTTGACAGAATCTTTTCAAATTTAATAAGTTGTGATAAAAACAACTAGAAAAGTAAGAAAACTGTACCTTGGTGTCCTTTTGAGGATTTGGAAGACAAACTTGAGGGCCTCCCTTGTGGCTTTCTCGTACAATCCATGAGCATCGTAACGATTGTACACGATATTGGAGTAAACATCCTTCTGTGTGGGTGCCGCAAACGGAGACTCGCCACTCAATCTGAGGAGAGAAAGTTGGATAAAAAACATGTATTTTGCAACATATTCTTATTTTACATTTAATTTTCAAGAGATTTCAAATATGTTATAAAGATGAATTCTTCATTTTAAATTCTTCACTTCAGATATAGTGCATTTAGTACTGAAATGAATTACTTTTTTTAATTACTTCAATTACTTCATTATGCTAATACACAGATACTACTGCAGTCTAGTCACACATACAAAACTAGAAAATGTCAGTAAGAATGCCCCCGCCACCATGTGAAATTATTTTCAGTGTTTGATGTTCTATAAATAGTTACAACCACTTTAATCTTGATACTCTGATTCGGGACACAACGCGACGGGACGGACATGGGCAAAACTATAACCCACCCATTTTATGGCGGGGGCATAATAAAAGACTGTATACACAGCCGTAATATATGTAGATATATATGTATACAAAATACATTAAAAGAAAATACCAAAATTAATTACCAGGAAACTTTATTTCTGTTGTGATATTATATATTCAATCAGTGTAAAAATAAAACCTTATCAATCAAAACGGTAAGTGGATCGAGGTAATTACGATTTTACTTACAGAAGGAAGGCCAAAGTGCCGACTGTCCAGATGTCTGCTGGGAATGAGGTCTTTTCCTTGGCAACAACTTCTGGGGCTGTGAAAAAAGTATCAGAACATTCTTAACTGTTTAATTACAGCTGACACCTAATGGCATCAAGAAGACCAATTCATCTGTAGAGTGATATAAAATTGTCAACAGACAACAGACGCTCTTTCGTGCGAGATGTATAAACAAATAAACGAAACAATACTACACAATTTTATCACTTGAATCAATTGAAAAATTAATTTCAGACGCAATATTAGTTACTTAGGGGAAGCATTGTGCTGTCTCCCTAGGTACACCTGGGTATTTTGACAATACAGCAATATATTCAGCTACCCCGTTATCATATAATGCATTTCAATGTAATACCTAAGGGCAATCTGTAGGGACAGGCTATCAAGTTGTATTTTAACAAAGTATTGTATTTTAGCTCCTCCAGTGAGGGTAGTACGCAGGAAATAACTGTATATGAGAACTACTGTTTTGGTGAAATAGACTGATTATACAATAATCAGTTATGTATATGAAATAGCAGAGAATGTACTTAAATCATTGTTATACAGGATATAGCATTGTACAATAATAATTATTATACATTTATAACATTTTCCATCATATAGCATTGTACAATAATAAGTATTATGCATGTATAACACTTTCCATGATATACAATTGTGTATGAATCAGCAAAATTTAGCAATATACTTGAATCAAGTGTCACTTACCAACAAATTCTGGGAAACCCTCGATGGCTACCAACTCTCCATCCTTGTTGACAGTTCTGGCCAGACTGAAGTCGACAAGTTTGATGTCCAAGTGTTTGCGACTGACCATGACGATGCTGCTGGGTTGGAGATTAAGATGGACGACGCCCTGATGTTGTAAGTACTCGACGCCGTCAAGGACTTGACGCATCACTCTAGCAACCATATCTTCCGAGTATTTTGTTTTGAATGACAGATGTTGGATGATGTTAAGACCATACAGGAACTCCAGAATCAGATAGAGACTGTCCTGGTACAGATAGCATCCGTACAGGGAGACAACTCGTTCATGGCAGAGAGTCTTTAAAATTTCGTATTCATGTTTTGTGGCCTCCATTTTGTCGGACTGAATGGGAACAATCTTCCCAAGGTAAAGGACATTACTATCAGATTTTCTGCAGCACATTAAGTCAGAGAAACCACCACTGAAAAAAAATACAGTGATAAGACGCTTTGAATATTTTCCTTGAAGGCAAAGTATATCACAGCGAAGTGAATAGTTTGTATACATCTGTTAATAGATTGTTATTTGTATCAATCTAGCTGGTTTCTACCGACTTGTCTAGGAAGAATTTCTCTTTAGCACATTTGGTAGAGTGTAAGACTAGTAAATCTGAGCTCATGAGTTTGACTCAATAACTATGCAGAGACTGAGCAGAAGTACTATGTATTAAGAAAAAAAAAAAAATGATTTTTCACAACTTTGATTTTTAACTGATAACTCTGCATTGGTTTAAAACTGAAGTCATTGAAAAATATGAAAAATACATGAAATTTATTCAATTATCATTTGTCTCAATACACAGTACTTTTGATCAGTCCGTGGTTATATTGGGTCAAACTCATGACCTTTGGTTTACTATTCCTATACTCTACCAAATGAGCCAACAAGAAAACTTCTCCCTAGCCAAGTCGGTAGGAGGTGGTTAGCATTGTATACCAGGGTGACATACAGAAAAGAACTTGTTCCAAGTCTTCGACAGGTGAAGCAATTCCTGTGAAAGTATCGCTAAGCCTATTCCCCAGGTCCCTTCGTGGACCCCATGTAACAGAGGTCATTATTTATTTTTTCTATGCCTCTGAGGGAGGCGTACCCGGGACCTCTGGTTTATTTGTCTTATTCTCTACTGAATGAGCTAAAGAGAAGTACATCCTAGCCGAATCGGTAGGAAGTGGCTAGTATTTTCTCAGGGTGACAATAATTTTACAAACTGTAAAGGAAATTATGACCTCAAAATATTTTCATCTACCTTTAAAGCTTATATCATTGACACTAATGTTAATTTATATTTACACATGTGCTGTTTTCAACATGTTCTGGATCTTTTAATACAAAATGATGTCAACAAAATATCTGGTATGTTGATAATTCATATCTCTAAGACAATACAACAAATAAAAGATAAAAATACAAAGAATACAGGAAAAATTCTGTCCAGTCTCTGTATCTTCGTCAGTTCATTATACCTGTACAGAAGACACCTTACCTGTATAGAGTGTTCAGGAAGCTGTAGGTATCCTCAGGGGATCCCTCGATCAGTTCAAGTCCGGAGGGGCTGACCTCTGACCCCTTTCTACTGGGGGTCGGGGAGGGGCGTGTCTCCACTTCCCTTTGTCTGGCCAGAAGAGCCGACATATACTTGTCAACAGTGACCTTTGAATCTGTAACACAAAGTATGTTGCCATATAAATATTTGTGCAACAGGAACCGAGATCAAAAACAGAAATATTGAAAAAGGATATATTTTACAAGACAATTGACTCAAAAACTCTGCATCAATTCTTGTTTTACTTGTAAATGTAAAACTTTGTTCACTGTCTCCATGAAGACACTAAAATGTAGTAATCTTTGGAGAAGACTTATGCAGGCTTTAGCCTCTTGTCCAATCCTTTTGGAAACAATATATTATCCTGAATTGAATTGAAGACTAAAATGTAGGATAACAAGTTGCACGCTCAACCGATTTCCCTCCCCCCCAGAGAGAGTCAGTAAAATGTGACTAGATGTTTAACTACTGTCTCAACATATTTCCAATCCTCAAGGGAAAGACTTCATACTCAGGTTTTCAGGATTACAACATTCTTTTTAGATAAGTACCCTGGTTACTAAGTGTCAGTACCAATGTATCAGTAGTAATATGTTACTTTGTTTAAACTTAGGGTGACATTTGATGCTTGAAGTCTTTGTCAAAATAGGTTTATTATAGAATTTTCAGCCTAGCAACCAAATCTACATTTTTCAAAGAATCTGAAAGGACTTTGTTATTACCTGGGTCAGATCTCGTCTTGACCTCGGTTGAGGCAACACTGTAGGGACTGATGCCGAACTTGTTCACACAAGCCACACGGAACCTATAGCTCCGCCCCTGAAGCAGGCCAGTTACTAGGCAACACTCATCAATCACATTGGCAGCAACAGTCCATGTCTCCTCTCCTATAGGGAAAAAAAACACATATCGTGTAAAAGGTCATTTCACACTTAGTAAAAATTATTACAAATTCAAATCAAGTCTGTTTTAACAAATTTTTAATTTTCTATAAATTTGTTCCCATGGAGAATGTTTGTTATCAATGAACTCTGATAATTTAAGATAGTTCTCTACACTTCTCTACCAACAAAATCATACAATGGTCACACCGTTTTTTCCCTCACTCGATCTATACACTATTCCAAGGTTATTCAATAATTGAACTATTTCAAGGTCATTCTCTACTTGCAAAGTCACCCCTGACAATATTCGAACTCAACTATCACTCGGAGATAAAAAACAGTTAAATGTAAGACATGTTTACCAAACTTCCTGTAGTCCACCCTATACCCAGTGACAGGAGTGTTACAGTCAGCCATGGGAGGCTCCCAAACCAGCAAGGCCTCCGTGCTGGAAACCTGGACCACAACAGGTCGACCAGGCTCCTCTGTCACTCCTGTAACAGAACATTACTAGAAATGTACAATCTTTCTTTATACTGGAAATGTGCATGTTTCAGACGAAATTCCAAACAAACAAAATATTGACAGTTTAAAGCATTGAAACAAATTTGAACAAAATTCAAGACTGTCAATATATAAATAAAGTAAGTATGATATTAACTCATTCACCCCTAAAGACACATTTGAACTCTTCTAATTCAAAGGTTTGAGTAGTTCATTACAAAATTCCAGGGGTGAATGAGTTAGGAATGTGACATTTTGACCCACAAAGCTACTGACCTCCTACTACGACTCTTGCCCAGTTGGTAGATTTCCCGGCTTGATTCCTTGCCACACACTTGTACACGCCTTCATCAAATGACTTGGACAGTTCAATGGTCAAAGTTGCAGTGCCATCCTCTGACAGGGAGGTGCGAAGACGGTTACCCTCAGAGACCTGCTCCTCATTGCGGAACCAGTTGACAGAGGGCGTTCCCTCACTCTGGACTCGACAGGTCAAGGTCACAGTCTCACCTGGCATGAAGGCATGGTCTCGGAGTTTCGTGATGAACAATGGCAACTTTGCTGGAAATATAATAACACACGTTCTATATTTTGGGTAATTTCCTGTAATATATTAATGACTAAATTTATATAGATCACCGATATAAACTTGTGTTATAAATAGACTTACATGAGTATATTTTACTGAGATTTTATTTGATGATTTTTCCAGCCTATGAAATAAATAAATGTAGTTTTAACTATATGTATGTGACTTTATTGCCTTTCTGATAGTAAATGAGGATTGAGGTTTTCCAAAGTTACAAATTATGTTATAAATTCATTATATATATATATATATATAGTCTTGCTTCACATAAATATAAATGTTAAAGCAAAACTACGCTAGGCACCTTCTGGTGATCTGGTATCTTAACTTTGTTTTTACAGCGTCTGTCTAGAGGACATTACAGGTACCAGAAGCCTGCATGGTCCTCAGATACGATTCACTGCTGGACATCAGTTCATGAGTAAGAAAAAATAAAAAAACACTTTTACTAAGAAATCAAATCAACTCTTTTAAACAAATCCCAATTCTTAGTTACCAGGGTCAATCTGCTCCTTGTGGAAAAGTTCCTCCGGTGTTTGTTGTTGTTTGAACTCCTCGGCCACAAGGGCCCACTCCAGTTCCTTCTGTAGACAGGGGTTATTGCTGGACACGTACTCCTTCTCCACGTCCTTCACTGAGCGGCGCTCCTTCATCGTCCCTTCTGACGAACTTTCCTCCGAAACGTCACTCTCGCCAGCAGCCTCCTTGTACTCGCGGACACGAGCCGTGTAATCTGGCTCAGCGAGGGGGACCAGTAAGGTATCACAGCCCTGGTGGTAGCGGACTTGCCAATCCGCCCACGACTCTTGGTCAAGGAATTTGCCATAGTGCTGCGAGTCTGGGTAGATCATTTCTCCCGAGTTCTTGTCCTTGAGAGGGTACAGACCTGTATCCTCTTCTTCAAGGTCATCGTTAATAACGGCCTTTAGGCTCTGAACACGAGCACATGTCTGTATGGCACCCAATAGCCTCTGTAACATGAGGGATTATACACGTCATATAATTACATGTCTGTAGGGCACCCAATAGCCTCTGTTACATAAGGGATAATACACGTCATATAATTACATGTCTGTAGGGCACCCAATAGCCTCTGTAACATGAAGGATTATATACACGTCATATAATTACATAGCAACTTCACAGAAAACCTTAAATTAGAACTTGGATGAATCACTTTGCTAGCTGAATTGCATTTACAGCTTTTAGAGAAACAACAGTATTAAAATGAAGGAATGTACATAAAGTTGATTCCTGACCTTGATATCAATTTTTTGAAAAGCTTTCAGCATTCTCTGTTCTAGCTGTCTTCATCAGTAGAGAAAGTAAGTTTTGTGAATCAACTATGTACATTGAGAATATTCACTCACGAAACCACTTTCAGCAAGTGACCCAGGGACATTAATTAATTTGACATCTCACTTTAATCTCAAGTTCTTATGGAAGCTTAACAACGATTTAAAGGAGGAAGTGATTTGCAAGTTCATGGGACTTTGACGTTTCAACTTATAATTGTAAGCTATTCCCGGCTTTAAGTTTTTTCTTCAAAAGAACTGTACCAAGTTTGATGACAACAGCATCTGGAACATTTTTACTAACGAAATAGCTTCCCTTTTGACAGAATTGATTGATTAAATTTGCCTTGTTATCAGCAGCATGGCTACCTTTTGACTGAATTGATTGATTAAAGTTGCCTTGTTATTCAGCAGCATGGCTACCTTTAGACTGAATTGATTGATTAAATTTGCCTTGTTATCAGCAGCATGGCTACCTTTTGGTTGAATTGATGACTGATATATGTATATGGCACAAACAAATGACAATGTCGTATCATACCTCCTTCTTGTTCTGTTTCTGGAATGTAGCGAGGTGCTCCATGTTCAGTCTTGGTCCTTGACCGCGGTTTGTTGCATTCTTGACCCAAGCATGCTCCATACACTCTTCCAGTGTTAGACGCTCACTGATGAAACAATCAAATCATGTCACAAATGGAAAAATATTAATTATTTACATTTTTTTAAATATCTTATCAAAATCAAATGAAACTGAAATTTTCTGTAGAAAATACCACTACTGTCTGATTATAATACAGGTATAATGCTTAAATATTAAAAACAATTTGAGACTGCTGGTAATACCTGATCAAAACAGTTGTACAGTGTAGTACAATGCATTCAAAAATGTTTAACCACATTAAGAAAAAGAAACCTTTTGAAATTTTCATTAGCAATGGGTAATCTGTTTACTTTGACATTTAAGTTATTATGTTGTTGATAACGGATTATTTCTCATCATAGCAAAAGTTAAGAATTTAGATACACTTTGATCCTCATTAGTCTGGACACAAATCGGTCCCAGCTTTTTTACAGTGCGATTGATTTAGCAACAACTCAAGGAAGGAGCTTTCGTCTTCAGTAGACATTTGATAATATCTAAATTAAAAACTACAATTACCAGTAGAAAGATTCAGAGTAGATGTCAGAGGACAAAAAACAACAAAAATACTTGTAAATATTAATATAATTTAAATTTTTGCATTATCATTCCGAATTTGTTTGACTCCATCACCCACAACTTTTTCTGAGATTATATGTTCCTGTACCTTGGCTCAAGAAGGAGCAGTTTGCTGATAAAGTCCTTGGCCTCCTTGGATACCAGTTCAAATCCCTCATCATCAAACTCCCAGTCACAGGTCTCTACCCATGACAGAATATCCTTGTCTGTGCGATCTTGGAAGGCAGATATTCCAGACACACTGAAGAAAACATCAAAATAAGTAAAGTTCTGATAAAAGCATAGATGAATTAAATAGAGCAAGAGTTTTTTCATCTTCTTGTGACGGGTTATTTCCCTGCTGCTTACCGGTACCCAATTGTGCAGCTGGGTAAACTAACATACAGATTGAAAAAAATTTAAGTCCAAGACGCAAGTCATGATCGAACTCCCAAACACATGAATCATTTATCCAAACAGAGGTAATATGGGGGTTGCAGGCCAATGTATATATATATAAATATGACATTCATTAGCAGGTGACAGTGAATATTGTCACCCCGAGAAAACCATTGTCACCCGAGGCAAAGCCGAGGGTGACAATGGGTTTTTGAGGGTTGACAATATTCAGTGTCACCTGCTAATGAATGTCATATCTATTTTGTTACACCAAAAGTCAATGTAGCTCAGAAACGGCAGCAAACCTCGATAATGACATCTTGTTTGTTGATAGTCTGCTGTTTACAATTGCTATCGCACCAGCGCTTGATGAAATTGGCTGTTGCCGTCAAACGTTCTTGGGGAAACGAAGCGGTGCACGCACATTTTTTGCGCATGTGATATTTTCACTGTCTCATGGCAATATCACCCGCGCTCCTTAAAACCAATGTATTTTCGGAGGGTGACAGAGATTTTTGTTTAATTTTCTCCCAACCAATCAAATAGCTAGAAATTCAATAAATGTCAGTAAGTGCAGGGTAAAATCTATTTTTAAAGTAAATTCTTACAATTACACTGACTGTTCACACCTATAAACTATTGAAATGAAACGAAAGGCTTTGTTATTCTTATACATACCAATGTTATCACATTAAGTTTTTATGAGCTAATTTGGCAGGTTATATTATATTACACAGACTTACAGAAGGTAAGCCAGGGCACCCACACTCCAGAGGTCTGCGGCCGAGGACAAAACGTCATTGCAGACTTGTTCTGGGGAGGTGAATTCTGGGGTACCATAGTTACAGCGAACCGACTGATTAGGTAGAACACGTCGAGATAGCCCAAAGTCGATCAGTTTGATCTCGTCAGAGTCGGCAGCACTCAGCAGGATGTTGGTAGGCTGAAATTCATAACAGTATTGAAATGTTTGCCAAACATGAGAAAATGTTATCTGTAAAATCATCAATATGCCTTTTTTAATTAAAAATCTCGACAACAAGCTGGAACACTACAAGGTCAACATGGCCCTTACCATGTGCCTGTATGACTCTATAATGGGAATATGCCCCACAGTCGCCAAGCAAAATATCCAAAACACAAATATCGAACAAATCTATTACTTTCAACATACCCTAACTACTTTAAGACTTAATTGTTACTTCTCCATTTTCCTTCCAGATTTTCATCAAAATATAATATAGAACGTGGAATATTTTTTGTATTTTTTTTGTATGGTTTTATACAAATTTGTTACCTTCACAAATCAGCTTTTGCATCATTCTTGAAAATTAGAACTAGTTTACAATATATTTGACCTCAGTAAAGTTATATACTGATGTTTACCTTGATGTCTAGATGGTAGACGTTGTGGTGATGAAGATGTTTGATGACCTCTAGCAGCTGTCGGATGTAGAAGGCCGCATCACTCTCTGTCCAGTTGTCTAGAGAAATGACCCGGTCAAGCAGATCCCCTCCGCTAGCACTAACATGTGGTCAAGGTCAACAGGCATATATGTTTCAGAGTAAATGTATCAAAGACGGTGGATTCTAATAACAAGAGGCCTATGGGCCTTAACGGTCACCTACATTGTAAGTACTACAGTATTAATTTTTGTTGTTGAAATATGAAGTGTAGATAATGATGTCAATCATCTCTACCAAAATTTGAGTAAAAAAAAGTTAAATAACTTTCAGTTAAGATTGTCAAGACAATGAGTTGATCTTTCCTAGACCAAGTTTCAGTAAATACGGCCTATTAGAACATAATTTTAAGTTTTAGATAGTTTTTTTCCAAAATGGCAGCCATGGTGGCCATATTGGATTTTTAATGGACCCGAAAAAAACCATTTTACCTGGACCACAAGTTGATTATTCCTACCAAGATTCAGTTAAATGGGCCCAGTAGAACTTGATTTTAAGTTTGAAATAGTTTTTCAAAATGGTGGCCATATTGGATTTCTGATCGACCCAAACAATAACAACACTTTGTCAGGACAACGAGTCGATCATTCCTACCTAGTTTCAGTTAAATCAACCCTGTAGAACTTAACTTTAAATGGCGGCTGTGGTGGCCATATTGGATTTCTGATTGACCCCAAAAATAACAACACTTTGTCAGGAACATAAGCTGATCATTCCTACCATGTTTCAATGAGTTTGCCTCAAAATATTACCACAAACACATCTGCCTAATTGATAAAACAGGTATGTTTTTTCTCTATTAACAGTTTCCTTAATAATATAAGACTGGTTTTGATTGGATACAGTTCTGTGATGATCACTAAGCTCCTGTTTGATTGGAAGGCATCAACCACGCCCACTACGTTTTTGTGAGAGGCAGCTTGGAGGTTATACAGCTCCTGTCTGAAGAAGTGCTTCATCTTGGGATCAGCAACAGGAATAAACTTGGCTGCGTACTGTTTACCTGATGACTTATCAAGCACCCTCCGCACAACTCCATGACGTCCCCTAAAAGACAAATAATCAAAATTAATTCTGATGTTTTGTAGTGACAATGTCCGATAATGTTGTTTTAAAAATTTACGATGATGAATTACATAGCGATTCAAAACATGTAGATCTCATTAACGTTATTGAACTGTTCTTAGATATTGAGATTCCTTCATCCCTCCAAATGTTGTGAAAATGATAATGTAATGGTTAACATTGATGTAATGAGTTGTCTTTTCCTACTTTGAGCCAAAGATGTACACAAAGTGTACTAAAATATACATGCTTAAAAAAGCTGTTTCACCCATTTAACCTAAAACTTTTAAGTTTTCATTCACAACTTCACAGGCACATTTTTCGACAAAATAAAAAAAAATATCTTGAAAATAAAATATCTTAAAATCATATTCTCCTAGCTGTAGTCATTTCTTACTTTTTTTGATGCATCCTTTAAACTTTCCATGTAGTGAATATCACAGAAAAATCAAAACCGTTACAATATGGGTTTGGAAGAGGGGGAAATAACTCTAGTGCACCTTACCTGCCCAGTTCCTCCAGTATGTAATAGAAGTCTTCGACGGGTGCCTCACGGTAATGTAGACCTGGGGAATGTGGCACTCGTTCTGTGATGGGGCAGATGTGATAAAATAACATTATTACAACATTACAACGGTCTGTTGTAACGCAACGTTACGGCACTTAATTATGTTTATATTGCCCAGTTCTTAATTTTACATGTATGTACTCTTATGTTTAACATATGCCAACAATTTTTTTATTTTTTTTTGTCATTTGATCAAGTTTAACAAGTTTAAATTTTTCTATTGAAATATATTCATAAATCTTTTGTTATAAATATCATTAGGATCATCTGTGTACATATTTTCAGGCTAGGAAGGACCATTCTAGAAAATCTAAAAATAAGTGCCTCTAAATATATTCAAATTGTCTTCAGTTTCATTTTCATAAAAGGTTGATTCAATATCAACACAGAAAGATGATAAAATAGTCTGAATAAGTGTTATTTTATATATAGGAAGAGAAAAAAGACTAAAGCTACTGTAGGTTGTGATAGAAATAAGACTTAGAGAAATTAATTTGTGTCAGAAAAGTAACAGAAATATATATACAGAGACACGTTTCTAAACTAAACATCACTGGGGCTAACTCCTTAGGTGATTGTTAATTGGAATACATAGGATTTCTGATTACACAGGTTTAGTATATACAATAGTGAATAATAGATAGTAGGTCTTGTTCATACAGGTTTCCTGATTATACAGACTTTACTTTAGGTTACATTGTAGAGGTACAAAAGGACAGACGCATCATCACCATAACATCAGGTTCAAATCTATGCTTCCATCTATACCATGACCTTCAGCTGCTGGAAAAGTCCATGTTTGGTGTTGATATAAAATATAAGTTGATCTAATAAGCTGCTGGATAACTTGTCATAACAATGATGCACTGTGCTCAACTTTAAAAACTTGTATTCCAAACCTCCACCCAACTATAAGATATACTGTATACTGGAAAATTTCGCCGAGTCAAATATTCTTCTTCTTCCGATAACTGTGACAGTACTCATAGGTATGAGTGCAATTGTTGCCCTTCATCGGTATAAAATCCATATTTACTCTGTGTTTATTTTGCCCTTTACATGAAATTACTGTATATAGCACGTCAGGTTATAACATTTAGCTTCATGACAAATTCACTCTTATTGTGGAGGACATGCAAAAAGTTTGGAACATTTCCCAGTATACAGCATCTATCCAATGTCATTTAGTTTTTACTTCGACTTTTGAAGATTATCTGTTTCACTTTTACAGTTATATCTTAACACGAAATACAAAGCATATCATACAATAACCTCATCCAGAATTTTTGAAACTTCTTCAGTTTATTAGTTTGGACCCAGATTTCCTGTGAGATCAAGATCAATGCTACTCTTGTAAGGCACACAGGATAGCATAGACTTGATGTTATGAAGATGATACAGATCAAGAAATGACATATAAGAATGAGTCAGAGACAGAGAGAAGATAAAACAGCCATGCAGACATGAACAGGATAACAGGACAGACTCAACTATTACCTTCAGCAGACACCTCTGAAAGGGAAAGCAACAACGCAATAGTATCAATAGTCTAGCAGTCAGTTCCAAGAAGAATAATCTTCTTTTCATCAGTATTTGACAGATTTTTCAAGAGTTCCAATCACTATATAGAACACACAAATATCATTATAGACGCTGTGAGTATAAAAAGAAAATGTCTGACAACAAAATATTCCAAAGTGACATTATCTACTTTTAATTATCATTAAAAACAAGAATTTGTTCCATATCAAATCAATTGTGCATGAGAATAGCTAGTTCACATTTAGCTTTAAAGAAATAACCAAATAAAATATCACACATACAATATCTGTGAATTTCTGATAATTAATTTGACATTACAATCACAAGGAATCATCTCCACATACAGGTACTGTAAGAAAATGTTGGCCAAAATGTTCGTGTTTGAATTCAAGATGAATTTCAATTATTTCCTATGTGAAGCCAAATATGTTATACAGCCTATAGTAACTTAAACGACATATTCTTTATCCAGCTAAATTAAAGCTAGTCATTTTCATTATGTTAAATCACAGCACATCATATCAAACCGAATTGTTCAAAACTTCAATAGCCAAATTCTAAAATGTAAATTTTGTTATTAATCAAATCTAAAATGTACAACAAATAATGCTTTCTTCATACATGCTAAAACAAGCATTTTTGTGTTGCCTGTCTACATATATGAAAAAGCTCCAATATGTTATTTGATGAATTACAACAATTTCAAATTATATTTTAAAAGTGTTTAATTGCAGTGTTGAAGCTAAAAAGGTTTTGAACAACAATACCGACACAGGCCAAAACAATACGTTACAATGTTTGAAAAGTTGAAATATTTCAATTCAGAAAAACTGTGATCTCAACAAATTCGTTAGTGATAGTAACTTGCTTGTACACCACAATTATTTCATGTGAACAACTCATTAAATTTTATTCATAAAGGAAAAATAGATTTTTTTTGGCAAATTATCTCCCTTTATGGATTTGATTTTGCAGTCATCAAGGTGATTTTATCTACTATGCTTGTTACATTTTCCCTGCAAACATCACTGGTGTCATTTGGTGTTTTTTTCTCCAACATTACCTTTCTATTACACATTTACTACCAATCTATGGCCACATAACTTCTTCTTGTCCAGAGATGTAATATCGTTTCTTAGTAACTACTTCGAAGTATTTTACATTAAATGACATACAGACGTATAGGCACTAATTATTACATCCTATCCAACATGTAACCTACAGTTCTGGCCTGTATACTCTGTCAGTGTCTGTAGTATTGAATTATTATCCACACAAATCATTACTATTCTACTAAGCATTGAAAAAACAAAAGACAAAATCTTGTGTAAATTACTGTACGTTCGTTGGCTATTTTTTCAGGGTTTTGATTTTGCTGTTTTCACAAAAGTGTGATAAGTCACAAAATTATGTACCTCCACATAATGTTTCTATGTTTGATCAAATAATTTGTCACGTGAAACAATTCACTCGAGTCACAAAATGTACACCATTCAATATTTTCCAGTTGTAAACTCACAAAATCAATACCCTCAAAAACTAGCAAATCTGAAATGCTGCACTGTATAGAATAAGTTAATTATTTCTATGATTTTTTAAGATGTAATTAACAATTTTGAGATTAAGTAGAAATGAAAAAAAAATTACAATGAATTTTATAAACAGTATGACTTATTGACACATGTTATATTTGTCCTTTAACAGAAGTCCCCAAATATCTAGAACTTACCTTCCACTGTGATTTTGGCCGAGCTGACCGCTTTACCGGACGCGTTTTCAGCAACACATTGATATTGACCACAGTCGCTACTCATAGCATTTTCCAGAGTAAGACACCAGTAGTCCGGGGCTTCGTGGACGATCTTGACCCGCGAAGATTCAGTCATTGGACGCCAGTCCCTCATGAACTTGACTGTTGGCAACGGAATTCCATCAACGCGGCATTCCAACTTGCAACATCCCCGATGATCAACCACTACGTTCCGGAGTGGTTCCAGGAAGGTCGGCGCATCTACAGACACAAGCCACCAGTTAACGCACATCAGACTCCAAAAACATAACAATAACAATGAGTGGAGAGTTTGATGTTTTACATTTTATCTCTGGCATTCAGAAAGCTCCAAAGTTGCATTTTTAAAGACTCATAAAATAAAAGGCCTTCCTAAATAACTCATACACTGTATATTGTTGTTTTTCAATTTCATACATTTGCCTTCAAAGATAAGGAAGTTGAACAAACTAACCCTTTACCCCAGTATGTTACATGCAAAGTATCATGACTATTGGCCTCACTGTTCAAAAGGAGATGTATTTTGCAATTTCTGATAAATTTGACCTATATTTGTGACCTCTGAAGTTAATTAGGTTCATTCATTTAAATGAAATTGACATTCCTTCACTCCAGCAAGCTACATGACTCGTGGGCCTCACAGTTCTTAAGGAGATGTAGTTTGAATTCTTTGACATATTCTTCGACCCATATGTAACCCCCAAGCTATAGTCAAGGTCATTCCTTTAAACAATGTTGATTAATATAACCTTCTCTCCTGCAAGTTACATGCTACTTACCATAACTTTACACATTTTTCAAAGAAGTTGTTTGAACTTTATAATATATTTGTTCCAACTAAATGTATAAGTATGTCTCTCTTGGCCTTATATTTCTGTGGAAGAAGTAATTGGGGAAATAGTTTAACACACTTGACCCCAGTGACAATGAAAGTGGGTCAAGATTATTCAAATTTGATTCCCTCTATCATGTCATATGATGACTCTAGGCTTCATGGTTCTATGACAAAGTTATGTTTTAAATTCAGGCATGAATCGAGTACACATACCCGACATTTCCAAGTTGAATATTCTGACGCTCATGCCTTGGTCATTCTCTGCACGACATTTATACTCCCCGACATCCTTCTCGCTCATTCGTGTGAACTCCAATGTGGCGTTGCCATTAGGGGAGATAAATGACTTGTACCGATTTCCTAGCTTGAGTTTCTTCCCTTGGAAGTACCACTTTATTTTAGGTAGAGGAAAGCCCTTAACCTGAAGGGATATCGTCACTGGTCTAGACTCTGCTCCATAGAATGTATCCTCTCGTACTTTGAATTCAGGTTTGCAAGCTGAAACAGTAATGAATAATTCCTTGGGATACAAAATTTCGAAACCATAAAAGCTAGATTCTTTGTATTACTTAAAAATTGTAAAGGTGAATTTTAAAGAAATGGTGTGGGCAAATAATGATGGGTGGAAAAAGGTTAAATACAAACCTTTGGTGGGCATTGATTCTATCAGACTGTCGACTGACGAAGCTCTAGACCTTGTCCAGGGACTGTCCAAGCTTCCACGTGACCCAGATCTACTCAAAACAGCTGTTCCAATGTAGTCATCTGTGACAAAAAGAATAAGGAAGTGAGTCATGGAGACCTTACTCTTGTATTTCATCAGAACCGAAGTCTTTAATCTTTGTTTCAATTAAAAATAGAAATGTAGAGCAATACATGTACACTTCATGTAACATTATTTTCCAACATACAAATCCATAAATGTTAAATAATAACATTGTTGAGAGCTTCATCCCTGAAAAAAAATAATCTAAAAGCTATTCTGAACTTTAAACATTTGTACAGCTAACTGAGCCTGAGCTACAATCAAAATTCTTAATATGCATGATTGAGAATTTCATGGAATCTTCACCAAAATCCTTTTACTTTTTACACTTCAGGACCCAAAATCAAATAGATGTTAATGAAGAAACCAATACCCTTTTCCCTGTTGATAGACAACGGCAGAGTCGGCTCACTGCAGCCAAATTCGTTCTTGGCCTTGACCCTGAACATGTAATCCTGATCTTCTTGAAGGTCGTACACATCAAACTCATTCTCCTCTACATTGTCAATCAATTTCAGCCACAGGTGGCTCGGTGGCTTTCTCATTTCCACCAGGTAAGTCATCTTGGAACCCTTCACATACGACGGCACACGCCCGGGTAACCAGGACAAGGTCAAAAGGTTACCAGCTTGGTTTGTGATCATTGGACGAGAGGACGGCATTCTCGGTGGTACTGTAAGAATCAAGTCAAAATATATCAATATTACATATCTGGTTCCAATTTTATCAAAACTTTGCAATTATGATTTAATATATCAACAATTTGGAGATCTGTAACTATGAAATAATGCATAATTTCTATTAATCGGGTATTATAAAAAGTAAAGATACATTTTTAGATACATGTATTAGAAATTATATTTTAAAAAGTTTTATTTCAATAAATTATGTTATGGAAATTTTATCAAAATTTGTGATGAGAAAAAGTCAGGTATTGAACATTTTTAGTAAAGCATTGGATGATGGGTTTTTTTTTATTAAAATTACCTCCTGTTAGTACGGAGTCGAGATATATGGCCTGAGGAAGGTCATCTGGATCATTACGGCGCTTGTCGCGACTTGACCTCCTAGATTTTTCTGCACATAAACAAAATTCAAATAATTACAAAGTATATCAGTATCAAGCACGTCAAAAAGAACAATAATATGTTTTGTAAACTTCAGATTGAGAAGCATATGAAAAGATAACACACAAAAATGTGACCTAGTATATCACAATGCAGAAACTTTGCAGAATTTTTAGCCATGCATAGCGATGAGATTTTGTTATATTTTCATTATATGATAACTTTGTACTGAACTAATATATTACAGTACATGTTAGGAAATTCCTACAATCACATAGAAAATAATACATGTTCAAATCTTTGATCCACAGTGACTCTGAAGCTCATATATGTGTTATTCCTACATTGTAATTATCAGAATTTCTGTAATATTTGTAAATTTTTCCTCAAATTTTCATTAAAATTGGTTTTCCGATTCAGCAAAAATGCATGTGCAAACATGGGCTTATAGCTTATTCTTCAGCCATTGGCTCAAACAGTAATACTGCAGCAGAATATGTATAAAGTAAACCCTCTGGTCAGTTAGAATAGACGGATAATTGGAACACGCGTTTTAACAACAAAAACAATAACTTTTTGTCTAGTGATATTTTGAAACCCTCCTTACCCACATTTCGAATAGTTCGAATATAAAAAAAATAGTACTGAAATCACGTAATCATTGATCGATTATGGCTATCTGCGATTTTGTAATAATAGCCTCATGAAACTTGCATAAACTGATCCATTTTCAAATGCATCAAAAATGTAACATTATTTATTAAAAATATAATTGATCAGCAAATTTGCTCTCCTGCAATTAAAAAGAATAATTGTGACATATTTCATAATGTGATATATATGAAAATGCATGACATTTGAACAAATGAAGACTTAACATAACATCTATATTTGTAAAGCAAAAGCTTGGATGCAACACTACAGTTTTAAAATTGCAAATATACATATACATGTGTTTAGAAGACATGCTTTGTTAATAAAATTTGCTCTTCCAAGTTAATACTTTTTAAATTAATAGTTAATTGTACTATAAAATTGTCCTTATATCAACCTCGAAGAGAAATTCAGACTCATGCACTGGTATTGATGGTATATTGTTATGGGAAGAACATGGAACATCCTGACAAAGAGTAAGGACAAGAACTTGATTCGGAGTTACTCTAACTTGAGTACATTTGTATTTACAATTAAAATCAATGGATGATTTGATTACAGGATCTGTTCCAACATTCATGATACTTTCAATGGAACAAAGGATTAATTAAACAATGGCATATTCTTTTGGTTAAATACAAACAATTGTTGTACATTGTAGATCCGGAATGGCCGACATAATGCTAAAAAAAGGAATATTTTTATGTCCAATAAATCGTGACTTTCTGCCTTCCATAGATACATAAATAAATTGGCAAGTTTGATGGATCACTATAGATGAAATAGTTTTACTCGAATGAAATTTGGTAGGCCTTAATTCTGAGGCACAATACCCTAGAGGCTAGTCATTTAAAAATAAAATGAATTAAGAAACAATAGATTTTTAAAACTTCGACATACCATCGTTTGACTGACGTAACCAGGGATGGAGGTGGTTATGGTCGGGCGTTAGAGACAGATTTCAATCGGGATCAGTTTAGAAATGGAGAGGAGCACTGTGTTTAGAGTATTGATTTGATAAATACTTGGTACATGTAAGTGGATAGGAACTTAAGGTGAAGGTTTCAATTTGAAAATTGACGTGATAGATAGTGTGCAAGATTTTAAAACTGGGTATGGCTAAATATGTAGTTACATAAACTCCCTGTTCAAGAACATTTGGCAAAACAGAACTCCAAACACGATCACACAGAGCACAAACAACAGCTTGGTGCCACAAGTATTATACCCTTGGAGAGAACAGGTGTGGATTCCTGTAGCCACGGTGACGATGTATCTGCAGGTTTGTAGGAGCACGGTGACGATGTTTCTGCAGGTTTGTAGGAAGAAGATGTATCTTGAGAGTACGATGAAGGTTTTTTATCCTTTTTGTCCATCGAGCCTTTCAGCATCTCCAGGAATTCCCTGGTGAATGGTAGATCGAGTGACCGTGGAGGACTCGTCCTTGTCCAGAAATCATGTGACCTTGAATCAGCAGATAACGGCATATCATTGTGGCGTCGACGTGAACGCAGTTCTGCCGCTTCCATTGACAACGGAGACAGATCTGTCGTGTGTCGCCGTGATCGGAATTTAGACGATATGGCGGATTCGTAGGAATCCTCATCAAGCAGAGAGGAACTGTACTTATGAGACTTGCGCCTACTACTATAAGGTTCATCATCGTAGAGGTCGGTATTGTCCCGTTGGCTACGAGATGAATATCTCGGCCTGAAAGGTACATACTCCTCATCGGAGAAATCCTCATCCAAGGTGTACTTCTTTTTTGGCATGTGTTTTGACCTTGGTTTTGGTTGATAGTCCTCTTCATCTGAAAAGTCATCCTCATATGAATATTTCTTTGGCTGTGCATATTTAGATGGCCTTGACCTTGGTACATAGTCCTCTTCCTCCGATGATAAATTGGCTCTTAATGAGGGTTTCTTAGCACGGGAAGAATATTTAGAATACTTTGAACTCACAGAATAATCTTCCTCATCTAAAGAGTAATCTTTTGACAGTGTTGATGTTTTATTGCGGGAAGAATATTTAGAAAATCTAGATTTTGATGTTATTTCATCTTCTTCATCTGATAACAAATTTTCTTGACGCATTGCCGGTTTCGATGGTCTCGTCTTTGGCCTATCATACAGATCTTCATCAATAGATGTTGTCGACTGTAAAGACTGTCGGGCATGTGAGCGTGATGATGACAAATATTTAGACGTTGCCTGCCTCGTCTTTGGAGCATACACTTCATCATCGTCAGATAAGTTATCTAACCGTGAACTCTCCAGACGTGATGCATATTTGGACAATCTTTGCCTCGGTCTGAAATCATTAACAGGAGACAATGGAGACATTGGATCGGAAGTTCGATGACTTTTAGCTAAAGGCTTTTTCCGGGGTTTGTAATCCTCCAAATCGTCGTCAGTTTCTATAGAGTCCTGGATCTGAGCTGAAATGTCAAGCAACTCTCAACGATAAAAAAAACAATCACTCCTTTCAAAATATGCTGCCTTGATACCTGTTTTGTGTTCATCAACATAATACCGTAATTACAATGCTAAAATATTAATATGTATAATAATATTATATATATGTATATGGTGATACTTTTGGAGGAAACTTACTTTAACTTTCGAAGATGATTTTTGCTACCGTTTCAAATTTTCCTTTTTTCCCCCCGTTAATATTAGTGAGTTCTTATTTTGGTAATTTCGCTTAATAAAACTAACTAACTAATTATTTGCGATGACACTTTTTCAGATTTACTCAAGTAAGAATCCATTGCTGATGGAATTCACTTTATTATATACCTTGAATCATGGGCATCATAACAATGGAAATGTCAAGTCACAAATGGCAAATGACATCACACTTACAGATCTACGTTTCCATTACTAGCAACCTTCCAGCGATCTCCAATAAATTTTAGTGCTTAATGTTTTGTAATTTAATATATGTTTCATGGGAATTTCAATTGTTGGTAAAAACTGAATTGGTATCAAGCCAATTATAGGTATGCTTAACGTTCAGTCAAGTTTACTTTAAATCTCAATGGCAGTTCATTTATATGTTTCAAATTGTAGGGCACCTTAGAATAAATCTGATATGTCAAGAACTTACAACGGTGATATTTTTGTCTGGAAAAGAATATTTATTGAGTGTTAATTACATTTAGTGATCTACATTTGCCTCCAAAAATTTCAAGAAGTGAGTTTTGAATATATTTTATACTGATGCAGAGTGCTAAGGTGAATATGATTATCAATTAAGTGACATGTGTACAGTGATGATGAGTGAACACTGAAGTATTACACTACATGTACAATGATCCACTAATTATATATATAAGTAACATGGATGATATATGCATGGATGCATGTACAAGTGAATCATATGCAATAAGTATGATGTTAATAATTTCATAAACATTCTACTCACTACAAACCTAAAATGACATGCTGTCATTTATTAATTAAAAAAGTTACAAAAAAGACTTTGTTAAAGTTAAACACTAATTTTAGCAAATAACATTTTGTATGATAATCAATATGGTTTCTGATCACTTTTTTAATCTTTTACACCAAAGCATAAAAAAAACAAAAAAAACAAATTTGTATATTTTTCAATTAATTTCTATTTAAATATTTTTGATAAAATTACAGCAATTAATATGGTGTCAAATTAAATAAATTTTGAAAATAGAAAGGAACCCATCTTAACATTTTCTGAATAAGGTCCATCTTTTGATATATGTATCGTTTTGTTTTTTATATATAAGCTCAATTACCTAGTGATTTTCAATTTCTGTCTTTCATATAAAAACAAGTATTAATCTTTCTTTAATATATACTTTAAATTTTTTACACCTAGAATTATCTCCCTTGAATATTCTTCAATCATTCAAAATATTTCTATGTCTCTAACTTACCATGCAATGCATGTGACGTACCTTTGGTCCTGTCCAGCACCGCAGACAGCGTGGGATCGCTGGTACCAAACTGAGTCTCCGCCCTGATACGGAACTGATAATCACGATTGGGTAGGATTCCGTCTACCAGGAAGCTAGTCTCCACGATCCCACTTGCGGTTCTTGCCCATCCCTGGACAGGCGGTTCCTTCACTTCCACAATATATGTGATCTGAGTTTTCTTTGCGTATGCTGGAATTCTTGCTGGAAGCCAACTAAGCATGGCCGATTCTCCATGATCCGTTATCTTTGGTGTCTCCATTGGCAACTTAGGCGGAGCTGCAAAAACAGCAGTGAAGGTTTCTTATACAAATTGCACATTTATAAAAGTTGATTTCATATATCTCATAATCGCTTCCTCAAAGTGTTGATAAAAACAACTTGATCTATTTCTGTTTAGATATATAGTTCATAGGACTTTGAAAACCACTTTCCAGATGTTCATTCATATTTTTATACAATTAAATCCATTTGAATAATAATTATAATAATAATAATACCAAAATAACACCAAAATAAGTTTCATTGGTGTTTTTGTTGCCTTTGTTTCTTCGGTTTTTCAGATTTTTTTAAAGCAATTTCATTAAAAAAATAGCAAGAACGTATATAAAGTATTTTAAAATTGGATAAATTCTGAAATAAATGCCTTAATTACTACACCAACAAATACACCTAACCACACCATGCAAGTAAACATGTAACATCAAAAGAGAAGTTGAGAAATAGAGAAATACCTGTTTTTATGATTAGTTTAATTAATGTACCCGAGTTATTATTTTTTTGTAGGTTGTGTCCTGAAAACTATATCTGATCATACAAACTTTTACTGACAATAATAGATGTTGTAACAAACTACTAAATAAATTCTTGGCTTTAAGATTTTAAAAAAAATAAAGAAAATTGTTATTGAAATTTGCATATGTATGTTAATGAATTCAACATGCTCAGTTTTATAGAGATTTGAGTCAAATTATTCTTGGGTATAGGAAATTTGTGAAATAGAACAAAGCAGATTTAAGAGTGTTACTTTATATTATTGCAGCCTTTCAAAGACGAGAATAATCAATATCCTTAGCGTTATTAATATTTGTTAATATAACAGGTTAACAGGTCAAAATAACATTATTTTTTGTTTTAATAAAATACACCAAAATACATATCTTGAAAAATCTTGAATAATTCTAAATATGATTTTTTTTTTTAAAAACATCCAGTAAACTTATCCTGGTTATCTGACCAACAAATACATAATTTAGAAAATACAGTAGTTAGAGAAGGGAGACTTAAATTCTCCATAACAACATATAATCGGTAAAATCTTACTTAATTTTATAAACATAATTAAATCAATCTCAAAGATAAAACAAGGAAAACAATGTTCTCTGTAAAAAGAATAATCATTTTTAAATACCAAAAACATCAGAAATAAGATATGAAAGAAAAGCAGCTGAATTAAAAAGTGTGAAAAATAAATAAAACTTTTAAATTTTATATTTCAATGAAGAACTCAACACACATACAATATATTTGTTCTAATATCATAATCTAATACACTATTATTCTGTTATATATAATATTTCAAACATATAAATTATCTAAATGCTAAATTATTTAATATCTACTCCATATATACACTGTATACCTGTTATATCTGTTATATCTAGATCTGTTATTTCAAAAATATATGAAGTTTTAGTAACAAATTCAACCAATTATTATTTAATGGAAGATCAAAATCTCATATATCAAATGGAATATAAGATGAATGATTATCTTGTTTTGTTGTCACCAAATTGATATCACAGTACAAATAAAATTTACAAAGTACAAATGCATCAAATGTTAAAAAAATTATGCAAATTAGTTCAAATCATGGAAACTGATATAACTTATAATTGAACAAGAATGAGTTGCCTCTTATTCCCATTTTTTTTTTTAATTGAATATATCTTTTTACAGACATAAAAAAAAATGTTGGAAAAGAATATTAACACTGTTTTGAAAACAACAAAGAAATACCACATTGTCACAAGCAGAATAAAAGGTAAGTTGACAAAATCAAAACTGGAAATATTGAATATCAAATTAAGATTAATCAATATCAAATTCAGATTAATTGTACAATGGCTAAACGCACACACACAAGGATTTCAAGTTCACACAAAAGTATGAAATCAGTACCTTCATCGATTTTCATCGGAGCTTCGTCTGAAATAACATACATAAAACATATACTAAAATCTACTAAAGCAATGCCACAAGTACATGTAAGAGGGGGGACAAGGGAATCAAGGATGGGGCACAATGGGGGGAAAGTAGGAGGAGGGGGACAAGGGAATCAAGGATGGGTCACAATTGGGGAAAGTAGGGGGGAGGGGGACAAGGGAATCAAGGATGGGGCACAATTGGGGAAAGTAGGGGGGGAGGGGGACAAGGGAATCAAGGATGGGGCACAATTGGGTAAAGTAGGGAGGAGGGGACATTTTGGATGTGGGAATTTGACAAGGGAAGGGGAAACGTATTTGGCAATAGAAGATCTTCTGATACAAAGGGAGAGAGGGACGTTCACATAGACAAACCACATGTTCTTGTTGTTTGATGACTAAAACTTTGAGAAATATATCCAAACATAACCAAATATATTTTTTAGGTTCTAAGGACATATATATATATTGTTTAAGCATCATCGAACGACAAGTACTTGGGTACAAGCTACCTATACATAGAAATCAACACAGCATGAGCATAACTATAACATTATTTCTTTGCAAATTTTTCCAAAGAGTCAAGTTTAAATTCTGAAATATTTACTATCACGTATATATAATGTACTTTTTTCAACATATTTCACTGTGTTATGTACCCTATGTTTCATCAACATCATTAAATATTTGGGAATGCTAAAAAAAGGGCTTCAGTTATTAGGCTTCAGCCTGTTGCCTCTCGCCATTTAATATTCTTTACCAATGAAATATTTATGGAGTGAAATGTCTACATGTGAGTATACAATTTGTGCGGCTGTGTTATTAATGGTAAAATTGATTAACTATATTTATCATATATAAGACGGTTTCAGGGCTTGAAACTTTATATCAGTTAAAGTTAATAAAGACACATATTGCTTTCGACCTAATAAGCAATCCGAACATTTAACAATTTGGGAAATCCGAAAATCAAATTGGGAACATAACCTTCAGTTTCTTAAAATGCATTTCCTCATGTAATTAAGTTGGCAAATCATTGTGAAGGGATGGGACTTTCTGACAAGCAAAAAGGATAAGGAGTATTTCTAAGGGATAGGGCACTTATTAAGGTCGAATATGTTACCAAAAGCTTCACAAAAACATTACTGCATGTATCACAGTGTATAGCAAGTGGCTGAAAAGCAAAATTTCTGCAGGAGCTCATTCAGTGTTGAAAAATATTTGAAATTTGATATTAATTAATTTCATAGCATTGTCAACAAGTTTACTACCATAATTGTGCTTAAATATGTTTACTTCATAGAAAATATATCTTAAAGCAAGCAAATGTTAAAATGACTGGCCTGCAATAAAAAAAAAAATCACCACTGCAAAAAATGTAAAACTAATTTTCATTGGCCTTATTTTTCAGACATGTCTGGGTTTATGAATTAAATTATATATATAACTAGCCCCAAGCGTGCAGTGAGGAGAGCTGAGTGCAATATTAGGGCATAGCTACACATTGACAGCGTGATTCTAACAAACAAATACAAAGTTCAAAGTTTTATTTAGAAATATGTTTCCAGTAACCTTACTGACAAAGTTTTTTCTTAAGGAGATAACCAGATTTTGACCATTTTGTAAAAGATCTCTTAGCTATGTTACTGATACACGTCTTTAAATGACCTTATCTGTTAATAGGACGTTATACAAACTAAAATAAAACCAAACCGAAACCAAACATTACTGATACAAGAATTTCTATTTTTCTTTTTTTTTTGGTCATACATAGTAATTAAGTTGGCCCTTACAATTTAAATCAACAGAGGTATTTCACGACAAAGAAAAAAAAACAGTTTTCAGCATTTTACAAGAATTTCTATTTTTGAATATAGCCATATATATACATATTACCAGCATTTGTTCTTTTAACATTAACTTAAATGAAAAAGTGTCCAAATGCACATCGTAAGCTTAAAATTTTCGAACAAAATTGAAGTAAAGTCCATTTAAAAAGTTGATTGGCACATAGATTAAGCACAGCAGTAAGCCAATGACAAGTATACAGCTACTTTTTCCCGCACCAGTAAATATAGGAGCAGTACATTATAAGCAGCCATTTTTTTTATCGTAATATTAATGGCATTAGATTGATGACGTCAGCGGCCATTACATTATACACCACGGTGTGATTTAGTAAAAGCAATTTACACAGACAAATACCTGTTCGTCTTTGTATTCTAGAACGTGGGACTAGAAACAGAAACAATATTTGCACAATCCTAATATATTAAATCAGTATCACAAATTTTATGAATTGTAAAATTGTATGTTTCATTTCTGTTCAAATTCTGACAGCAGAATCAAGCCGATTTCAAGTTAACTGGTACATTATGTATTTTTGCCGCTTTTACAGTGTTTTTCTTTTTTAATGATTTCTTGGATAAAATGTGTAAAAAAAAGTTAACCTGGTAAAAAAAATCCTAATTACATGTAATCATTGGGTTGAAAGAAACTCAAAATATATCCTTTCTTTCGTTCATCCAGGATTCTGCAATAAAATTTGAATTTCACAAGTTGGTATCTCTCATTGGGACATGCCAATAATAATACTGAGATAAATTCTTCTGAAAGTCTTTTTTTTATTTACCTGTGTCGTTGTAGGTATTCCTGTACTCATCATCTAAGTCATCATCATATTCAACATCATTCTCATCAAGTTCTGAAAATCAAAAAAAAATAATACAATGTATGAACACAGAAAATGAGACAGTTTCAAAGAATTAATAAGTTCTTGACACCTGCTTCATCCCAAAAACATGTTGAATTTAAGTTAATTTCCAAAAAAAAATTTTTTTATGATACATATATGCCAAATTTTGCTTGACAAATGTATTCGTATTGTTATGGTGAATATAGAAAGTATCTTGAAGGTATAAGAAAGCAATTCATTTTAATTTTAAACTGAAAGCTGAAAGGTCAGTATTGTTTGTGGGGTGGAGTTAATCAAAATGGTTGACGATTCAGATAATCAGAGTGATTGCCCTTACCAATTGGCCTGAAGAGTGAGATGGGAAGACTAGCCTCACTGAAGCCGTACTGGTTGTGAGCTCTGACTCGGAACATGTAATCCATGCGAGGGTGAAGGTTGTTTAGCGTAAAGGATGTAGACGTGAGCCCGGACTTCAGCTCCCGCCACTCATAGTTCGGTGGAGTGCGACATTCGATGACATATGTCAAGTTAGAACTGCTTCGGATCTTATCTGGAACCTTTGCTGGTTTCCATGACAACGATGCTGTATCTTGACTAATCTCTCGTAACTCTGGTTTGTCAATGGGTAGTCTCGGTGGAACTAAAAATGAATTACAATATTGAATGTGTCCTCATGTATACACTGTTTGTACATTGTATGTACATTGGGCAACAATATTCTGCACATGAATCTTTTTCGAAATCTTTTCGCTAGTTTTTTTAGTTGTATATGGAATAACACTCAGCATCTTTTGGTACTGATTTATTAAATACGAAATTGAAATCGGAGAAAAACGACCACAGTACCATTACATATTGTCTGCATGGCATCCTGTATGTGCTAAGATGAAAGATATGTATAACTTGATTACTGTATTATGAAAAGATTCTTGTAACACAACCAATAAGTGTTTCTAAGTGACGTTTTGATGACTAGTACGGTAGGTTCTCTGTCACCTTCGTCAGACAAATGACCAGTGAAGCTGGAAGTGTAGGTACAATTAGTTGTTATATATGTATTGAAACGACTCGGTGCAGCTACGCTTTGTTTAAAGCATCAATACTATGACCAAGTATTAAACAAAGCGCAGTTAAATCAAGATTGTGTTACAAGAATCTTTTCATAATCCATACTTTAATACTAACCTGAAAAAATATTTAGAAATATTGATTACTGTATGTTGCTGGGATTTTGATATAAAATCTTGACACACGTACTGTATGTCTTGAAGTGTTTGACATCAGAAGTGAAGACTTACTGTATGTCGTCAGGTGTTCAATGTACGATCTGTTTGGTACGGAGAACTCCTCCTTCAGTAACGTGAGGTCAGCTTGTCGCCGTGGTTCATACTCCTTCGGTTCTATAATAATGTATAAAATATTCAATTCATAAGTAATTCAAACATGTTAAACTGCTGGTAGGCAAAGCATTATATTTTGGGGGAAAACTTGGCAAGTGTTCAGAGGAGGGAAAAAAGCGCTGGAGTTAAGAAATTGGGGAGATCCTGTCTAACCATTTTTTCTGCTTTTGAGGGGCATGTTTAATATTTTATGAAAAGGACAAAATGTAATCTGTAGCCCTTATTGTGATACAAGCTGTAGCCCTTATTGTGATACAATCTGTAGCCCTTATTGTGATACAATCTGTAGCCCTTATTGTGATACAATCTGTAGCCCTTATTGTGATACAATCTGTAGCCCTTATTGTGATACAATCTGTAGCCCTTATTGTGATACAATCTGTAGCCCTTATTGTGATACAATCTGTAGCCCTTATTGTGATACAATCTGTAGCCCTTATTGTGATACAATCTGTAGCCCTTATTGTGATACAATCTGTAGCCCTTATTGTGATACAATCTGTAGCCCTTATTGTGATACAATCTGTAGCCCTTATTGTGATACAATCTGTAGCCCTTATTGTGATACAATCTGTAGCCCTTATTGTGATACAATCTGTAGCCCTTATTGTGATACAATCTGTAGCCCTTATTGTGATACAATCTGTAGCCCTTATTGTGATACAATCTGTAGCCCTTATTGTGATACAATCTGTAGCCCTTATTGTGATACAATCTGTAGCCCTTATTGTGATACAATCTGTAGCCCTTATTGTGATACAATCTGTAGCCCTTATTGTGATACAATCTGTAGCCCTTATTGTGATACAATCTGTAGCCCTTATTGTGATACAATCTGTAGCCCTTATTGTGATACAATCTGTAGCCCTTATTGTGATACAATCTGTAGCCCTTATTGTGATACAATCTGTAGCCCTTATTGTGATACAATCTGTAGCCCTTATTGTGATACAATCTGTAGCCCTTATTGTGATACAATCTGTAGCCCTTATTGTGATACAATCTGTAGCCCTTATTGTGATACAATCTGTAGCCCTTATTGTGATACAATCTGTAGCCCTTATTGTGATACAATCTGTAGCCCTTATTGTGATACAATCTGTAGCCCTTATTGTGATACAATCTGTAGCCCTTATTGTGATACAATCTGTAGCCCTTATTGTGATACAATCTGTAGCCCTTATTGTGATACAATCTGTAGCCCTTATTGTGATACAATCTGTAGCCCTTATTGTGATACAATCTGTAGCCCTTATTGTGATACAATCTGTAGCCCTTATTGTGATACAATCTGTAGCCCTTATTGTGATACAATCTGTAGCCCTTATTGTGATACAATCTGTAGCCCTTATTGTGATACAATCTGTAGCCCTTATTGTGATACAATCTGTAGCCCTTATTGTGATACAATCTGTAGCCCTTATTGTGATACAATCTGTAGCCCTTATTGTGATACAATCTGTAGCCCTTATTGTGATACAATCTGTAGCCCTTATTGTGATACAATCTGTAGCCCTTATTGTGATACAATCTGTAGCCCTTATTGTGATACAATCTGTAGCCCTTATTGTGATACAATCTGTAGCCCTTATTGTGATACAATCTGTAGCCCTTATTGTGATACAATCTGTAGCCCTTATTGTGATACAATCTGTAGCCCTTATTGTGATACAATCTGTAGCCCTTATTGTGATACAATCTGTAGCCCTTATTGTGATACAATCTGTAGCCCTTATTGTGATACAATCTGTAGCCCTTATTGTGATACAATCTGTAGCCCTTATTGTGATACAATCTGTAGCCCTTATTGTGATACAATCTGTAGCCCTTATTGTGATACAATCTGTAGCCCTTATTGTGATACAATCTGTAGCCCTTATTGTGATACAATCTGTAGCCCTTATTGTGATACAATCTGTAGCCCTTATTGTGATACAATCTGTAGCCCTTATTGTGATACAATCTGTAGCCCTTATTGTGATACAATCTGTAGCCCTTATTGTGATACAATCTGTAGCCCTTATTGTGATACAATCTGTAGCCCTTATTGTGATACAATCTGTAGCCCTTATTGTGATACAATCTGTAGCCCTTATTGTGATACAATCTGTAGCCCTTATTGTGATACAATCTGTAGCCCTTATTGTGATACAATCTGTAGCCCTTATTGTGATACAATCTGTAGCCCTTATTGTGATACAATCTGTAGCCCTTATTGTGATACAATCTGTAGCCCTTATTGTGATACAATCTGTAGCCCTTATTGTGATACAATCTGTAGCCCTTATTGTGATACAATCTGTAGCCCTTATTGTGATACAATCTGTAGCCCTTATTGTGATACAATCTGTAGCCCTTATTGTGATACAATCTGTAGCCCTTATTGTGATACAATCTGTAGCCCTTATTGTGATACAATCTGTAGCCCTTATTGTGATACAATCTGTAGCCCTTATTGTGATACAATCTGTAGCCCTTATTGTGATACAATCTGTAGCCCTTATTGTGATACAATCTGTAGCCCTTATTGTGATACAATCTGTAGCCCTTATTGTGATACAATCTGTAGCCCTTATTGTGATACAATCTGTAGCCCTTATTGTGATACAATCTGTAGCCCTTATTGTGATACAATCTGTAGCCCTTATTGTGATACAATCTGTAGCCCTTATTGTGATACAATCTGTAGCCCTTATTGTGATACAATCTGTAGCCCTTATTGTGATACAATCTGTAGCCCTTATTGTGATACAATCTGTAGCCCTTATTGTGATACAATCTGTAGCCCTTATTGTGATACAATCTGTAGCCCTTATTGTGATACAATCTGTAGCCCTTATTGTGATACAATCTGTAGCCCTTATTGTGATACAGACAGACCTTGTGGACTCCTTTTTTGGACACTGTAGCATGACATCCGATCATATCATCAAAACACCATTTAGTGGATACTATATAAAATTTGTAATTTTAAAAACCCTCAAATCAACGAAATTGAATACCCCATAAAAATGAGTGATTTCACTGTAGTTTGAAAGCGGGCTGAGAGTTTTAGCATTCTACCACCACATGGAAATAGTAGGTAGGTAAGGAAAAGTACGATCCCCTAGAATTACAATGGAAGCGATTAACCAATTTTGGTCAACTCATGCAGTCTTCTCCAAAATAGAGGATAACAAGATTACCGCGAGCGGTATATAATACGTCCGTCACACATTGAATGAGCAGTTGTTTGTATGATTGAAATATATGAAGTATTTGTGAGTAATTGATATTAAAAGAGAAATCATTCAACATAACTGGTAGATCAATGAGTGCAATACAACATCATGGAACGCATGCATCGCATTAATGAAACCAAGGGTAATAAATCCAGTAATTA